TGGGGTTCAACATGGGAGTCACAACGGTGTAGGATAGTGACAGCACCTTCTTGCTCTCAGGAGAATTATTGGACTTGGGACGGAAGTAGGTGAGGCTTAGAGATACATAGAAAAGGGAGACAACAAGGAGGTGGGAGGAGCAGGTAGAGAAGGCTTTGTGCTTCCCTTTAGCTGACGGAATCTTGAGGATGGCAGCAGCGATGCGAGTGTAGGAACATAGGATGAGCAAGCAGGGTAGCATGATGACCAGAATGGTCCCAACGATGGCATAGACCTCAAAGAGTGCTGTGTCTGCACAGACCAGCCTGAGCACAGGTGGGCTGTCGCAGAAGAAGTGGTTCACCTTGTTGGTGCCACAGAATGGAAAGCTGAAGAGCCATGTGGTCTGCACAGTAGCTACAGGAATGCCTGGAAACCAGGAGGCAGCAGCCAGTTTGGCACATGTCCTTGTGCTCATGATGACTGGGTAGTGCAAGGGACTGCAGATGGCTACATAGCGGTCATACGCCATGGTGGCCAGAAGGAAGCATTCAGATACCCCGAAGAAGAAGAAGAAATACATCTGAGTGGCACAGCCAAGAAAGGAGATGGTCGTGTCCTGGGCAATCAGGGTCGCCAGCATCTTGGGCACAGCAACTAAGTTGAAGCAAATCTCCAGGAAGGACAAGTTCCTGAGGAAGAAGTACATGGGGCTGTGCAGCATGGGGTCAGCCCAGGTGACCAGAAGGATGAGGCCGTTTCCCATCAGGGTAACCAGGTAGATGATTAAAAATACCAGGAAGAGTAATGACTGTATTTCAGTAGGTAAGGAAGAGAAACTCATCAGGGTAAACTCGCTAACTCTCGTCCAGTTGCCTCCAGCCATAGAAACAGGAGTGAAACCCCAGCTGTGGTCATGGAGAGATTCTCGATTGCAAGTGTAGGATTTTAGGTTTGTTATTCGGATATCTTCTTGTCAATGTCAGTGAAAGAGACAAGATCTATAATCATTCAATTCATATCATCAGAAGTCAAATGCAAAAAAAGGAAAAAAGTTCAAAGTCATTTGAGATCAAATACGATTGTTTAAAAAGGAGATTTTTTTCTTCAAAAATTTTAAATATGGGTAAAAAAAAAAAATTTTGGGTAAAAGTGAAAGGATATAAGCTTTCAAACGTTGTAGGCCCAAATGATAAGTGAATTTCACAGTATGTATCAGAGGCTCTTTGAACTAGCAATTCCATATCTACAGTTTTAGATTAAGATTACATGCAAATTTTATCTACTAGAATGGTCCCCTCAGCTTTATTTACCATAGAGTAATTGAAACAATACACAATAAAGAACAATCTAAATATATAAAAATAGATTGGTGAAATCAATTGTGTTACATCTACATTACGGAATGCTATGAAGTAATTTAAAAGTACAAGATATCAAACAACATGAGAAAATACTCAATAAGTTTTGCTAAATTGATAAAGTAGGCTAAAAAATAGTATGTCTAATGTAAGACATTTATTTTAATGAAAATGTATATGTGTAAATATATGTGTTATGTAATTTATATAGAAAGCCTTCAGTTCTATTTCTTTGTTAATATGTTTGTGGTGCAATTCCAGGTGTTTTATATTTCTTCTCTGCATTTTATACTTTCCACATTATCCACAGTGAAAATGTATTATTTTCTATTTGAAGAACAAATACTTGAATATTATTAAGAATAAAAAATTTGTAACACAAAACAATCCATAAACAAAAGGTAAAGGTAAATGACAAACGGGGGGAGATATTTGCAGTAACAGCAACAAATGATGAAAAGTGTTTGTCTACCTGATATATAAGAGCCACAGAAATCAGTTTTAAAAAGACACAAACTCCTCAAAGGAAAAATAGAAGACACAAAGATTTATTTCACCAAGAAGTGCCAAGGGCCAGTAAGCATAGGACAGTTACTCTGTTTTGCTAGTAATAAAATTAAAAAGGAACACAGAAATTGAATTTCTTCATCAGATTCGAAATACTGAAAAATATAACATTCAGTGTGAGTAAGAGGTGGTGTTATAACTAATATCTTATTTTGTTTTAGGCTCTGTAAGTTTCTTCTAGAATAATTTCTTTGAAAATCAGTTTCACACAAATGGTGTGAGGATCCGGTAATATTAATACACTTTGACTCAAAACTTCTCTGGAAGAAGAAACGGAGGCAATGATTTTACATGTTTGTGCAGTGCCAACCATTATACTGATAACTTGAAAATGATCATTAATAGATTGATGAATGAATGGTTCAATTATAATGCATGAATGTGAGGAAAATCGTGTAATCATTTAAATAATTTTGAAGAACGTTTAATGCTGTATGCAATAATTACAATATAATATGAAATGAAAAGATAAAATGCCAACACTGCTCACATAGGATAAATTTTTAATTTTGTTAATATATTCTTGTATTCAAGGGCTAATTATCAAAATTCAAAAGTGATCTATTTCACCAGTGGGGAAAAAAAGGGGGGGGTATTTTCTTCTTTTCATTTTCCTGGATTTCTAAATTTTCTGCAGTGAACTACATTTGTTAGATGATAGCAATGACAATGTTAAAAGTGAAAATGCTGCTGATCATAATGATGACAAAGCTACAATATTTACTAAGTAC